AGCCAAAGCCAGAGACTGACCCTGGGCTTTTGGCGAGAGAAGAGAGGCATTTATTGTAGGCTGCCAAGCAAGGAGAACCGGGCAGCTTATACTTAACACCCAAACTCTCAGACGGCTTACAGGTAAGCGTTTTTGAAGACAGGAGGCAGAGGTTATAGGCAAAGTCATAAATCAGTATTTTGAGGCTCTACGTTGGTTTAACCTAAAAAGGTGGAATATCATGAAGCGAAGGCCCACAGATCATTGATGTATTTAAAGACTTTCCTATTTGTGATTGATTAAGGAGGGAAAGCTTTGTCTAAAAATTTAAGAAGAGCAGAAAACAATGTTAGGTCTGGCTTATGCATGACCTCTTCCAGGCCTCTCAGGAAGAAATTTAGAACAAAGAGCAGTGGTTAAAGTTTAGTCCTCAGTTCCCCCTTATCTGAGGTCTATGAACCAGCAGATGGCATTTCTTTACTTGGTGTGGATCTGGGTTTCTGAAAAACAACCCAGGGACATATGTTAAGATGTTATATTTAGTTTTAATAGGGAACCAAACATTTTGTCACTCAAACTTCCTTGGCTATTGTTTTATGCTATTATTACCTTTTTGTTTACTAAGTTGTTTAGTATTCAGGGCTAGCTAGATGTCTGGAATTATTTTGAAGAAACTTAATTTTTTTTTATTTCCACGCTTGGAGGGGAGGGGTGCCCATTAGGCACTGAAGAAGGGTCCCTACTCTGTCTCACTTGTCTTTGGGTTTCAAGAATTTCTCCTCCAAATAAGAATCATATTGGGCAACCATTACTGGAGACCCCAACCAGAACCAACACAGTGTCTTTTGTGCAGTGGGGGCTCAGTAATTATTTGCTGAGTAAATTAATACAGAATCTAGGCATAAATATTTAAAGAAATGCTTAGACACTAAGGAATCTTGGGTGAGTACATCTAACTTCCCCCAGACTTTCAGTTTCTCTTCAGAGAAGGGTTTGGATGAGCTGACCCCTAAAGTTCCTTAGGATCTATGCATTAAGGTCCCTAATCTTTGAGTCACAGCCTGTGAGTCAGAGCACAGCCTTCAGTGTCCCATTCACTATGGGAATGCCATGATAACCTGTTTGCATCTGAAACCCCAAGTGGAGGAAGCCATGAGTCATGTTTATACTGGTATCCAATTGAGCACGCAGCATGCTATCACCCTCAATGGACTGGCGAATCAGATACTTTTCCCTATTAAAAATGGCAAATGAGGTTTTTAAAAAATCATTAAAATTAATATAAAATGCCAGGATGCACTGTACAGGTTGTATCTCCATATTTAAGAAGACCTAGGGCCTAGAGATACTTAAGCACATAAGAGAAATGTACTGACAGCAGTACTAACATACAGCATTTTACATTTTACAGAGAACTTTCACACAGGCATGGTACTTTATTTGGCCGTAAGAGCAATGCTGTGCAGTAGACAGAGCTGCAGAAACTGACCTGCATATACTGTTGAGTGAAGAACTTAAAGAACTCCCCTGAGAGGGCAGAGCCAGGACTGGAAGCTGCATCTCCTGACTCCCATGGTTCATCTTGAACAGGATATTTAACTGTGAAGGACGAAATTGGGTATAGCCGGACAATCCTTGATGGTGGCATAGAGTGCAAGCTAGGGGCCCACCATGGGGTTCAAAGCCCAACTCTTTTGTATGTGGGTTTTGGGCAGGTCAGTGAGCCTTCCTGGGTCTGTAAAGTGGAGGAAATAGTACCTACCTCATGGCTGACAGTGAGACTTTAAAGGCATCAGAACAGGGGCACCTCTCCTCGTCCTCCACGCATGCTCTCCCCCACCTCTGCTCCAGCCAGTACTGTGGTAACCAGCTCCACAGAGGTGTAGTCTGAAAGTGCTTCACCTCAGGCCACCGCATTACACCCTCTTTCCAGGGTTCTCTGGCATTGCTGCGGGACCTTCTTGGGAACTGGCATTTAGGCATATGCAACTGAAAATGCCAGGGGGACAGTCACCCCGCAAGACCCCCCGATGGTGGAGATGGCGCCCAGGGAATCAGTGCCAGTGCCTGCGTCAGTCCTATGGGTGGGCGGCTCTGAAGTCATCCTGTCTGAAGTAGGCAGCTTGGCAACTCAACCTTGCTGGGGCTTCTCTCCTTCCCTGTTTCATACTCCTCAAGTCCCTACACCTATTCCCTGGAGTCAGTTCACAAAACAAGCCACCCTCATGCATGCTTGGGCTCTGCTTTCTGGTAGGAACTCAGGAATGACATCGTAGAGACGTGGTGCTGGGTACATAAGAAATCCTACATAAACTTTACCTGTTACCTATTTTCTATACTAAACGCTGCCTATGATCTGCCTTCTCCGTGTCTGCTGTCGTGAGGGAAGTGGTCTTTGTTGTCACCATGTGGTGGACAGAAAATGAGAAATAAGGGAAAGGGTCGAATACCACAGGGCAAAGACCTGGAATAGCTTCCTGAGTCGGATGTCCAGAGACTGATTTTGGGCCACTTCATTGCGAGAGGCTTTAGGTGGTTTTAGATCATACAGTAACAATCCATTTTTAAAACTTTTGTGTGTGTTATTGTGCATTAGAAAATCTATAAATAAAACATCAAAACCGTGATTTCACTTTATTTTTGCTTTGATTAAAAATGTCTTAAGTGACTCAACATATGAAAAATATTAATAGGAATAAAGATAGCGCGTAAATATAGCAAAAATCATGATAGTGGTGTGTGAAAATAAGATCTGGAAAATGAATAGATAAACGTGCATTTTATGACCATTATGTTTTAGGTAAGTGGATAGGATCGTAGTTTGGGCATCTATATTTAGGGACTTTGTTATCAAGTATGCTAACCATTCTCTTACTTGGAAACACAGACTTGATTTGCAACATTTGTGTTTTTGACAATGTTGTTTTAACTTTCAGAGAGAGCAAATAAAGATCTTTTTCTCATGTTAAAACAACAGAAATGGCATAAAACTATCATAATTTTAATTACTCTAAGAAGCTGAAACAACATAGACATAAGTATGACTCATCTGTGTGTTTGGTCAAGGACACTCAGAATTTACATGGGCAGGTATCTACACACAGTACATTGGAAAACCTTTTTATTGCTCTCTGTCTTGAATGGAGATAGAGCACATTCATATCATAAGTAGGATTCACTGATACCGTGACAAAAGATAGTTCTTAAAACTGCTATGCTTGTAGATATTTCAAAGACAATAGTTTGCTCACATTTCTGAATATCCATTAGCAATAAGAAAAGCTATGAGGACATGTACACTCTAATTTAAGAGAGATTTCTTTATGGCTAAAAAGTTGCAAAAACATTCTGAAATATACATCTACAATACTCCTAATTAACTCACAAAACTTGTTGACTTTGTCACTGGGAAATACTATGAGGGCTACAATCTTACAGCTTGAGTAACACATTCTATTCCACATGGAAGATGGAGATGAAAGCCCTCATAGTATTTCCCATAGGAGAAATGTAATCCTCTTGGCATCTCCCACAGGAGACACGACAAACAGCGAAAAATGATTAACCCTTGGGCAACAGTGACTGCCTAAAAACATAGACTTCACCATGATGCTAGGTCAGACCTGCAGAGAATTATAACATTTTGTGATTGCTTACTTAAAAAAAAAAAAAATCTTCCTTTCTTCCATCTCTCTCACTTTGTCCTCAACTAAGACAGATCAGATGATTGACAAGCCATTCCAAGACTGGGTAATTCCTCTTAATATGAACTTGATGTTCCAGAAATATTTGCTGTGGAAAGCTTCCCTGGGAAGGCTCAGGCCATGGGGAAAGCCCAACTCCTCTCCGACTTCTCAACACCAGCAAGAGGCAGAGTTGGTGGCTTCTTATTGAATAAGAAATAAATACGGCATTTATACACAGGTACAGGGATAGATTGTCTAACTCCCCTAGAGAAATTTTTTTAACTGCATGCGTTGTCGATGGGCCAACAGCACCCCAAAGGAATGAAAATTGGTTCTTCTGGGGGTGTGTGAAAAAATCTTACTCTTTTGTAAGATTTGTATATTACAAATCTGTAATATTTGGGTATAGCGGGACAATCCTTGATGGTGGCATAGAGTGCAAGCTAGGGGCCCACCATGGGGTTGCCATCTGTATAAAGCACAGATATACAAACAAGGCATCAACAGGTATGCAGTATATATGTGGTATTAAAATTGAATGGGAGGAGTCAACTAAGGGGGAAAAACCCTAAAAGGTCTAGGAGGGGGTGGATGATAATGAAAAAAAGGCTGAGAAACGCTGCCATAAACCCCTCTTCAGACAGAACAATGATTCAGACTGTCTTCCATAGTGCTTTCTAAACTGTTGTGTATTGTTTTAAAAATAATTTATCACATGCTAATTGATAAGAGAGCTAAATATGTGCAAAGAGCTGTCTTCCCAGAAGTGAATACCCTCTCTTGAAAAGTGCTGACATTCTTAGAATAGGAATTATTTCTCTTCTTCCAGAATTCTGCTACGCTCCTGACTGAATTCCATTCCGGAATAGCTATGGTGTTACATGAAATGCTTTATCAGGCAACGGCTCAAAGGAGAAAGCAGAGAAGGCTATGCTCAGAAGCGCTGATCACTGCACGTGCTGTGTTTGCGATCGATTTCTTAGTAAGAATAAAGCACTTTTGCTTATGTTTTATTTTCTTTTCTTAAGTCATATAAGAAGTAGGAGAATGAAGACATATGGACATTATTTTTAGCTCTGACAAACAAAAACAGATCACCAACTTTAATATGCACAGGGAATCCCTGCCCGTGAGGTTCCCCAAAAGTTGGTGCAAGTGTTTGAAAGGTTGAAATGTGCCATATGCCACTATTATTACCCCAACTGCCCCTAAGGCCAGGGTCCTGGGCAGAGATTCAGCCAGGGCATGCATTCCATTTTCTTTGGCAAGTGCCACTCCCAGGTTGGAAACATTCAAACAAAATGAATCTGTCTTAGATCAAACTGATTTTACTACCTGCACATCCTCAAGAGCAGGAGCCTGCCAATGGCCTCCCCGGGTCATCACGAACCGGATCAAGCGCCAGAGAACTGAAGACGAGAGAAGGCACACGCTACCTACAACCCAGACGTCTTTTCTTCTGAGTGTGAAGTCCATTCTCTGGGAGCAGCTGTGGATGTCGCTTGGCTTATATGTTCCTTCCCTGCCCTGATCTAGCACCAGCACTTCTCAAGTAGTGTCACCCTTTGCTCTGCCCCGAGGAGTGGCTGTCACCGAATTACAGAGAGTTCTTGCAGAGTCCTGCTTGGACGTCTCCAGTTACGTGATCAGCAAATAATCTGCCTCTTTAAAAGGAAAAATATGACGGCCTTGTGTGACAGATCTGAAACAGGTGTAGGGGCATCGGGAGACCTGCTGGCAATAATTTACAGCGCCGTGAACGCGCGTTGGTTCCCAGTTCAAGGACAATTAGCACCACTGTATCTGGCATCTGCTGGCTGCCAAGGCTGGGCCACCGCCAGGGAGCTTTCTCCTGCCCTTACAGGATGAGGAGCACAGGGATGGGGGTGGGGAAATGCAACTTTAAAAATCACAAAACCTCTGCCCTCAGACTTGTTATTTTGAGATCTAAGTTATAGTCATTACGGGTGGTGCTGATGGTACAATTTCACAGCAGATGGTCAGGAAATGCCACCTGGTGTGAAATCCACCAACTGCAATCAAAATAGGAAGATCCACACTTTACTCCAACCCACTCCATCTCTCTGTACATCCTGTTAATAAATATTGTGCTTTGCCTGGTCTTGGGGACATTCGTACCAGCCATTTAAACACTCCAGGGACTGTGTGGTCCTGAGTCTGCCGGGGCCGTGCTTGTTTCTACCCTCACAGCTTTGGGATACCCCCTGGTTGGGATATGGAAGAACTTAAGCCAGGTTTTAAAAAAGAATTATTCCCTATGACGGCAGGCTTTTAAACACAAATCAGCAAGGGTTAGGATCAATTCAGGCGCGGATGTGGAACGGTGGGCCATGCTGACATATTTTTGTAGAGTGAGTATTCACAACCTGTGTCCTACTTTCGTACTTGGGACCATGCCTTTTGGATGGAGGATGAGTAACTAGGGGTGAACAGGAAGGAGGGGAAAACCAAGGGACGAGGAGGTGAGCACAGACAACCCCGGGCCTCAGGTGCAGGGATGGGGGTGGTACACGGAGGAAAGCAGCGAGAAGCACACAGGGCCGAATGGTTGACTGGGAGTATTACTGGGGACACCTGTGTTTCATTAAGTAAGCAGAGGGGTGTGGTGGTGTATATGAGACAGAGATCCTACTAAATATTCAAGTAAATCTGAGGGAAATACAACACAAGGGCTATTTGCTATATAGATAACAGAGAACTGACAAAAGAAAAAAACCCGGATTCAATTGTACAAAAATAATACTAATTACAGTTATGAAACCTGTTCATCATTTATAACTTAATGGTATGGACACAGTAGCTATCAAGCTCATCACTCATGTGAGTCAGACCAATTTGAAAATTTTACTTGATTTCAACACCACGCCATGTATGTATGTTTAGATCTAGTTTATTATGGCCTATGGTTATCTGCTGAAAACTTTTAAAATTTTACATGGTAGGTAGAATTTAGGTGATTTTGAACAGCCTTTGGAACATAATAGAATGAGAAAAGTCACTAGAAAACAGAATAAAAAGGAAAGTAGGAAAAATAGGCCACGCACAGTAGCTCATGCCTATAATTCCAGCACTCTGGGAGGCCAAGGCGGGAGGATCACTTCAGCCCAGGAGCTCAAGACCAGTCTGAGCAACACAGGCAGACTCCTGTCTCTACAAAAAAAACACAAAAAGTAGCCATGGGTGGTAGTGCATGCCTAGACCCAGCTACTTGGGAGGTTGAGGCAGGAGGATCACTTGAGCCAGGGAGGTCAAAGCTGCAGTGAGCCGAGATCACACCACTGCACTCCAGCCTGAGTGACAGAGTGAGACTCTGTCTCAAAAAAAAAAAGAAAGGAAACAAGTAAGAAAAATTAAAAGAGGCCGGGCGTGGTGGCTCACGCCTGTAATCCCAGCACTTTGGGAGGCTGAGGTGGGTGGATCACGAGGTCAGGAGTTTGAGACCATCCTGGCTAACACGGTGAAACCCCATCTCTACTAAAAATGCAAAAAATTAGCCGGGCGTGTTGGCAGGCACCTGTAGTACCAGCTACTCGGGAGACTGAGGCAGGAGAATGGCGTGAACCCGGGAGACGGAGCTTGCAGTGAGCCGAGATCGCGCCACTGCACTCCAGCCTGGGCTACAGAGCCAGACTCCATCTCAAAAAAAAAACAAAAACAAAAACAAAAAAAAAAAAGAAAAATTAAAAGAACAAGAACTTAAGTAGAAGGAAGAAAAGTAGGCTATGAAGTGTTTCATAAACTCAATAAAACATAGAGGAAAGAAAGAAGATAGTTAAAAATAAATTCAGTAGAAGAAAAATAAAAGAAATAGAAAAATCTGATTAAAAGCAGGAAAAAAAAAGAGAATCTGAGTTTTATCAAACTATTTTAACAAATATAAGTTGTTAAATCTATATAAAATTCTTCCCCTATTGGGACTGGGGACTAGTTCCAGGCTCTAAAGAAATTGCACAGAAAGATTCCAGAACAAAGCTTTCATGTCACCAGAGAGCCTGAAACTGAGAGTAAATTCTTTCCAGTGCACCACAAGGGATGTTCCTACTATGATTAGCCGTGCTAATCTTCTCAAAGAGAGAAGGGATGAGAGAGAAAGGGGAATAGGTGGAGAAAATCGACAAGCATTTTTTTATAGTCCCTGGAGAGAAAAGAGTGGCATTTTAAAGATTTACTGCTGCCCAGCAGAAGATGAAGACGTGTTAATCTAGCTCTGTCTGCATACCTGAAGACATCTGAGCCCCCGGAATGTCCTTCTCCACCCACCCACTGCCAAGCCTGCTGGCTGCCCTGGCACTCACCAACCGGGCAGGCAGGGGCTCCAGGCCATGGAGAGGAGAACTCTGTGCCCCAAACACGTGCACCTACCCATTCTCCACGTGGACGCAGACAGACAGGAAAATTTATTGCAGACATCTCTAGGCCCTTCTCCATTTACAAGTAAGAAACTGAATGGGATACATGGAGCTCCTAGTGACTCCTTCCCACCTTCCGCAGGGTGTCAACTGCAGGACCGAAGCCAGGAGGCCCGAGTTTCAGAAGGGATATGAGACTTACTACAAAGGACATTCTCTGATGGTTTCTAGGGGTTAAATTACAGTCTCAAGTTTTCCCTCAAAAACACCCTAAAAATATTTAACTTCCAAATTATCAACTTCTGGAGGCAGTTTGCTATCACAAAAGTGATATCCCTACATATATTTATGTTCCAACTTAGCACTATCTAACTCTTTTTTTTTATCTTCAGAAACAGAGTCTTGCTCTGTTGCCCAGGCTGGAGTGTAGTGGTGCGGTCATAGCTCACTGCAGCCTTGAACTCCTGAGCTCCCAAGCATCTGGGACTACAGATGTGTGCCACCATGCCTGGCTATTTTATTTGTTTTTTTTGTTTGTTTTTTTTTTTGTTTTGTAGAAATAGATGTCTCACCATGTCACCTGGGTTGGTCTCAAACTCCTGGCCTCCAGTGATTCTCCTGCCTCAGCCTCCCAAAGTGCTGGGATTACATGTGTGAGCTATGCGTCCACTCCCGCCTCAGCCTCCCAAAGTGCTGGGATCACATGTGTGAGCCATGCGTCCACTCCCGCCTCAGCCTCCCAAAGTGCTGGGATTACATGTGTGAGCTATGTGTCCACTCCCGCCTCAGTCTCCCAGAGTGCTGGAATCACAGGTGTGAGCCACGTGCCCACTCCCGCCTCAGCCTCCCAGAGCGCTGGGATCACAGGTGTGAGCCACGTGCCCACTCCCGCCTCAGCCTCCCAGAGTGCTGGGATCACAGGTGTGAGCCGTGTGTCCACTCCTGCCTCAGCCTCCCGGAGTGCTGGGATCGCAGGTGTGAGCCGTACGTCCTTGCCTCCAGCTTCTCTCACTCTTTAGAATGTTGCCCATTTATAAAAATTGTATCACAGAATTTGAAGAAAAACAGTACTTGAAAGATAACGAAATTCATATAAACTATTACGGTTAGTTGATGATTTCAAAGTTATCCAAGAAGAATATTTTTTCTTCTCTGTCCTACCGAAATTAATAAACAGAAAAAATTATCCTGTTTGTACCACTAAGAACCCTAATGAGAAAGTCATGTCTCACTTGATTTTGCCTATAGATAATTCTACTTGGTCTATATTGAACTCATGGGGAAAGCAGAAGTCTCAAAAAAATCTGTTTCAATCTGACTCATTCTCCAGCACATTTTGTCATTTCTTACTCACTTACAATAAAAAGCCTCCTAGCCCTTTTACATACAATATCTCTATTTCATTGTCTGTTGCATTGTTAGAAACGCCCTTCCTACCTGAATAGTGTTTTTCAGAACAGTAGGTGGGCAAAGAAGGATGTTTTCCAGACCTGCCTGATAAGAATCACTTGCTCTGATTATCAAAAATAATGGTTCCCAGCCCTCAACCAGAATTCACTTAAACAGATCTGTTTGTTCCAAAAACACTTTTGGTGCCTATTTGTTCCCGTTACTGGGAAAGCAACTGAGAAAACATGAACAAATAACACAAGGTCCCAACGTTAAGGAGCCTCGTCTAGAGAAAGGTGATCAACATGTTCAAAACCACCGCATGTGCTGGAATGAAGGCATGGGCAAAATGCTTGATGCTCCCACCAGGCAAGGAGTCAATGGATGATGGGCAGGAACTGACCAGGCCAAGGCAGGGGAGGGAATTGATGCTGCTGCTAACACATATTAAAGGCTTACTCTAGGGACAGACACTAGGCGGAGTGCTTTACAGACGTGATCACACCTAATTTTCACAACTACTATCTCACTAATTCAGATGTGGCAAGCCCTTGGTTAAATTAATATTTTTCCCAAGAACAAGCAGCTGGAATTGGGCTCAGAGCTCTCGTTCTGCACAGAGGAGGATACGAGCCCCCCAGTCATGCCATCAGCAAGTCTTTCTTGTCCCTTCGCTGAACTTCACTATCAACAGCTCTGCCATCGACCCCGTGAGGAACTCAAGGTCTGGAGGAAAGGAGAAACTTCTTTTAGCAGAAAGGTTGTGCCTCTCACAGCCCTTTTCTGAATTTCAAGCCCAAATCCATCAGGTTAAAGGATTCTTCTTCATTTCCGCAAGCTGAGTGTATAATTCCTAAGCCACTAACTATAAAGTGAAGTAGACTGCTGGCAGAAATGCAGCTTCAAAGGCCTCCTAATTATTTACCAAACACAATTGTATAGTTGACACGCACGCTTCTCGGTGAAGCAAAATGGAATGGTGCCTATTCATAAACTTTCTTTAATTGTACTCACAAGTACAAAACAGAATTTGGAAAGGGTTGATATATGGCTCCATGACATTAGAAAAGATAAGACAGAGTGAATATTTTTAGGAGACTAAATTAGCACATGATTACCTCATTATGTTCAGGTCTTGAATCCTGGTCCCCAGAATTTTCTTCCAGAAAATGCTTCACTTTCTCCACCTCTTCCCTGCACTGAAAAAAGGCCATTTTCTCCAGCTCGTTGCTGTTGTAACACGTGTTGAATTCTTCCAGCCTCTTCACTTTCAACATCTTAGTAGTGAGTCCAATTAAGCTACTTTCTGGAGTGTGGTTTTCATCTCCCTCTGTCTCCGATTTATAAATCAAGACACGATTCTGACTCTTCAGTGCTTCTTTCTCTTGACTGCAGAGAACGGAAACACAGAAAGTTCTTATCA